GTCCTTAGAGAAAGGGAATGCTTCTATTTGGGGGTCTAGATTAGGGGCCCCTGATTTTCGTAAACCCCCAATATGGCACAGTCGTCTAAGGGGCTTTTTGTACCTGGGAGGTGTTTAAGGCGCTGGGCAATATTACCTTGGGGGAACAGATGAACCCAGGAAGCTGGGACCATGTTACCCTATCCTACTAGTAAAAAAAAAAACGGCACGAGGTACATGGACCGTAAACCCGGTAAGTCGAGTCTGCAAGGTAATGAGGGATTTTGAGGGATTCTAGCTTCTTTATTCGAGGTTCTCGCCATTCGTGTTCGGGATTGGTCTAGTGTTTGGCTTTTGGGTCAGCCAAAAGCCTAAAAGCCCAAAACCTGACCCCGTAGAATCTTGGTAGCGGGCCCATGAGCCAACGCGAGTTTCTCATCCCACAGAGAAGGGCTTGGGCATTGGAGTTTAGGGTGTAGGGTCTGCTTTGCATCGCTTTGCAGTGTATAGAAACTGTTGCAGCCGTCAGCCGGCACCTCTGAGCCCTGTTAAAAGCCCTAAAACCCCCTAAACCTTCAACCCCCTCTCAGACCTATAACCCCGAAAGCCTGAAGCAAACAAACCAAGCCCTGCGTTAACTGCACTTCCCAAAGTGCCCTCCCCTTTTGCAAATGTTCCATAGCTTGTATTTGTGTATTGTGGTCTTAATCTCGCTTTGGGGGTTCCGTAAACCGTTCTATTCCAGTAGTCTAGTAGCTACCCAAGTTGAGGAAGAAACACCATTGGGAACCCTGAACCCTAAGCCCTAAACCCTAAATCCCAAACCCTAAACCCTAAACTCCAGCATACCGGATGCATGCGGACACTGCAAGATTCCCGCCTATCACTTCGAATTGGCGCTGGTGGAGCGTCCTGACCGGTGTTGTCGAACACGGAAAGCTGCTATTTTCAGGGTTTAGGGACGCTCGGAGCCTTATGAGAATACGCTGCGACCCCCGAACCCTTCCGACCAGGAGCCACTGCCTGCCCTGACGCCTAGGACCCCAACCTCTGACACGAGACTCCCCGCAATGGAAGAAGTTTTTGGAAGTGGGCAGTTGACTTGAGTTTAGGCCTAAACCCGAAGGAATAGGGTTTGGGTGGTTTTGCCGCCTGAAAAAAGGGGTGGGGTGGGAGAAAGATGCTAAATGGCCCTCCACTATAGGGCCATGGCTGCTTTTCGCATTTCACGAAGCTGTCGAAGCAAGTCCGCATCCCAACCTTCACAGCTTATACGCTATATCACAGCAAACCCAAAACCCAAAACCCTAATGCTGCACCGAGTTCCTACTTGTTGCCCATACCGCTCTGTATCTAATGACTACTCAAGCCAGCTGTGCTTTGAAACCACAAGTTTGGCGTCAGCAGTGGAAACGCCCTTTGCCTTTTGAACCTAAAGCTCGACTGTTCAATGTACCCCAGCTGCAAAGTACACCCTAAACCCTAAACCCTAAACCCTAAAACCCGAAACCCGAAACCCTAAACCCTAAACCCTAATCAAGAAACCCTAGATCAAGCCCCAGGAGACCCCGTCTCCTCCACCTAGCCAATGAGAGCCCTGACTCCCTAATATGCTCCACACAAGTGACGCCCAAGAACTCTAAAAAATTCTCGAGACATCCTTAGCCCTAACCCTTGACCCTCAACCACTCTCTGATTCCGAAAGCCTTACTCTTTCAACAGCTCGAGACCCTCTTCGTTGACAGAGCAACGACCCGCAGACTCATGACCCTCGACCCTCGAGCCAAGTTCCCATGACCCGCGACCGGTCTCTAAACAACTCAACCGAAGCCCAAAACTGCTAAACCCTAAACCCTACTATATAAGCCCCCCCAAAAAAATAACCCCTGATCCTAAACCCGAAACCCGAAACCCTAAACCCCAAACCGGATCCTCAGCCCACTCGGTGGCTCGAGGCCCAGGGAAGCCAAAGACGTCCGCGTGCTCGCTTCTGAGGGTTGAGGGGTTTAGGGTTTAGGGTTTCGGGTTTCGGGTTTCGGGTTTCGGGTTTCGGGTTTAGGGTTTAGGGTTTAGGGTTTAGGGTTTAGGGTTTAGGGTTTAGGGTTTAGGGTTTAGGGTTTAGGGTTTAGGGTTTAGGGCTTAGGGTTCAGCATCTCTGATCCAAGCATTCACTAAGGGTGTTTGGCATCACCCCACCCACCCAGAATCCCTTTCATTTGGCAACCCTATCTACCATTTCAATTCTTATTGCTTAAGTCCCCTGAACCCTAAATCCTTCCTACTCCCGCAACGAAAACTGCTGGTTTTTTAGTACTGAAACCGACGGTTTCGGGGCCCCTCCATTTTGCCCGAAAGCACTACCGCAGCCCCAAATAGCTTTAAAAAGCCCCAAAAGGCTCCAAAAAAACCCAAAAAAGGGGGGGACCCGGGATATGCTGCTCCCGCAAGGAAAAATGCCGTTTTATAGTACTGAAATCGACGGTTTCGGGCCCCTCAAATAGCTTGAAAAAGCCCCAGAAGGCTTCAAAAAACCCCCGAAAAAGGGGGGGACCCGCAATTTGATGCTCCCGCAAGGAAAAAATGCCGTTTAGTAGTCCTGAAATCGACGGTTTCGGGGCCCTTCAAATAGCTTTAAAAAGCCCAGAAGGCTTCAAAAAGCACCCGAAAAAGGGGGGGACCCGGGATTTGCTGCTCCCGCAAGGAAAAATGCCTTTTTTAGTACTGAAATCCACGGTTTTGGCCGTACAGAACCCCTGCGTAAACACAGAAAACGAAACGGACCGCATCCAAAATTTAGATTTTCGGCCGGAGCCCAGCGGGACAACCCGGGACAGCTGTCCCGGGGGTGTCCCAGGGGGGCCCCGGGACATTTGTCCTAGGCAACCCCGGGACGCCCCGGGACGCCCCGGGACAACCTGTCCCGGGGGGGCCCCGGGACAAACCTGATTTAGGATTTAGGATTTAGGATTTAGGATTTAGGATTTAGGATTTAGGAATTTAGGATTTAGGATTTAGGATTTAGGATTTAGGATTTAGGATGTAGGATTTAGGATTTAGGATTTAGGAACCATGGAAGTGCAAAATCACCAGACGACCCCATTAAGGTTTAAGTATATGTAGGTAGAGAGGGTTTGGGGTTTAGGGTTTAGGGTTCTTGGGCTTAAGGTTTAGGGTCCAGGGTGTAGGGCTTAGGTAGGAAGCCCTTTCAGGAAGGCACACTTCACTAGTTTCAAGCAAAGCTTTACGTTGGCCCTGAGTTGATGAGTACGAGAGCTTGGGCATTAGAGGGCACAAAGTACCACTCCCTCCACACTTTTACCTGGAGTCGCTCGAAAACAGCCGCAGTGGGGGGGTAAGCTGAGAGCTTCAAGCCCCAATCCGACCCAGACCCTATAGACCTAAACCCTGAGCCCTGAACCCTGAACCCTGAACCCTAAACCCCCTAGACCCCTAAAAACGGTTGAGCACCCAGGCCTACTGTAAACCAAACACTCACACCGACTGCTGGGTTTAGCGTTGAAGGCTCAAGGTTGACAAGGTGCTGTGCCAGTGCCCTAGGCTTCGGGTTAGGGTTTCGGGTTTTAGGGTTTTAGGGTTTTAGGGTTTTAGGGTTTTAGGGTTTTAGGGTTTTAGGGTTTTAGGGTTTTAGGGTTTTAGGGTTTTAGGGTTTTAGGGTTTTAGGCTTTTAGGGTTTTAGGGTTTTAGGCTTCGGGTCAACGTCCAACAAGTCGCTTTTCGACATATTTGGGCATTTCCCAACATAGGGGGGCTACCCCTTTTGTACCCCAAGTAGAATAGAGTCCCCGTCAAGGGACCCCCCAAAAAGGGGTACCCCTATTGTCGGAAACCCCCATATGACCCTCAGGGGAGAAGCATGCCAAGAAAACGTCAGCCTAAACCCTAAACCCTAAACCCGAAACCCTAAACCCTAAAACCCTAAAACCCTAAAACCCTAAAACCCTAAACCCTAAAACCCTAAAACTCTAAACCCTAAACCCTTAACCCCAAACCCTTAAACCTAAACCCTAAACCCTAAACCCAAAACCCAAGCGCCGAGATGCCATCTGCGTTCCCACGCGGCTGGGCCATCTCAGCACGCTGCATTTTTATGCAGTGAGTCGTGCTTCCAGGGGCAAGCTGAGAACACTGCGGAGCGCCAGGGCGACGATCTTGAGCCAAAGCAGATGAGCGACGAGTGCGGAAAAGGGTTTTAAGGTTCAGGGTTGAGGGTTGAGGGTTGAGGATTGAGGGATGAGGGCTTAGAGTTTAGGGTTCAGGGTTCCAAGATTAGGGTTTCGGATGGTTTCGGGTTTCGGGTTTAGGTTTAGGGTTTAAGGTTTAGGGTTTTGGATTTAGGGTTTAGGGTTTAGGGTATGGTACAGGATTGTTCTGGTGTTGTTTCACCTCGCCAAAGGATGAAAACAAAGGCATCATCTGACAAAGCAAAAGATTGCCACGAATACAAGTTCAAGACCCTGTGGTTTGTAGGGAAAAGCCACAAGACGAGTCTCAAAAAGTTTTTGCCACACGTGCAACCAACAACAAGGCTGTGAACGAAGTGCACAGTCAACACCCTAAAGCCCTCAAACCCTAAACCCTAAACCCTGAACCCTAAACCCTAAACCCTCAACCCTACATCTTTCCGGTCGCCCAAGAAACCTAAAAGGCATCGGATCTTAAGGGCCCGTCGAACAAGCTCGTCAACTAATGCGGCTGATCTCGTTTAGCCCTAAACACCCTTAAACCCCAAACCTAAACCCTAAACCCTAAACCTTAAACCCAGGCCAAAAGATTGTCGAAACCTACGTTGGGGAAAGCTTATGCAAAGTCCCTGAGCATTGCTTTGGGGTTTAGAGGTTCCCAAGAATACGAATGGGATTTGGGGTTCAGGGATTTAGGGCTGAAGAGGTCTACGAACGTTTCCCAAATCCCTAAAAAAACCTGAACCCCCTAAACCCTAAACCCTAAACCCTAAACCCTAAACCCTAAACACTAAACCCTAAGCGTACGAGCCAAGTCGCGAGAGTCGGGCGGCCAGCCGGCCCGGTGGCAACCCGGGCGTGCAGCCGCGAAGGCGGAGGAGGAGGTAGACATCCGCCGCCAGGGACTTGGCTGCAAGAGGGTTTAGGGTTTAGGGTTTCGGGCTTAGGGTTTAGGGTTTAGGGTTTAGGGTTTAGGGTTTAGGGCTTAGGGTTCAGGGTTTAGGGTTTAGGGTTTAGGGTTGAGGGTTTAGGTGCTACGGCGTGGAGAGGCGTCAGAATGTAGGGTCTTAGGGTCTTAGGGTCTTAGGGTCTTAGGGTCTTAGGGTCTTAGGGTCTTAGGGTCTTAGGGTCTTAGGGTCTTAGGGTCTTAGGGTCTTAGGGTCTTAGGGTCTTAGGGTCTTAGGGTCTTAGGGTAGGGTCTTAGGGTCTTAGGGTCTTAGGGTCTTAGGGTCTTAGGGTCTTAGGGTCTTAGGGTCTTAGGGTGGGTCTTAGGGTGGGTTTAGGGTGGGTAGGGTGGGTAGGGTGTTGGGGTGTTAGGGTGTTAAGGTATTGGAGTGTTTGATTGAGGGTCCTTGAACCCGAAACCCTAAACCCCAAACCCTAAACCCTAAACCCTAAACCTTAAACCAAAAAGTATCCTCATGTCATCGCAGGCTCCGGATGATGACGCCAAAGAAGCTGGAAGCCCTTCGTTCCCAAGGCCTGTGCGAAACCGAGATCTGAAGCCAAGAGGCTTGGGTTTGGGAATTTGGGTTTGGAGTTTAAGGGCTTAGGGCTTAGGGTTTAGGATTTAGGGTAAAACCCAACTAATCCTTTCGGATTTTAGGGTTTAGGGTTTAGGGTTTAGGGTTTAGGGTTTAGGGCTGTCCTCCTGGCCTCATCTGCGTTTGGGGGCCGCGTCGGCTCCCGGAAGGACAAAGCCTCCAAGGCCCAGCCCAGAAGCCGGTCCTTGCGAGTGAAGGGTTTAGGGTTTAGGGTTTAGGGTTTGGGGTTTAGGGTTTAGGGTTTAGGGTTTGGGGTTTGGGGTTTGGGGGTTAGGGTTTAGGGTTCAGGGTTCAGGGTTCAGGGTTTGGGATTTAGGGTTTTGGGATTTAGGGTTTGGGATGTAGGGTTTAGGGTTTGGATTTAGGGTTTAGGGTTTCGGAGAGGGACTAGGGGTTCGGGAACTAGGGTTTAGGGTTTAGAAGGTGTAGGGCTTCAGGGGTATGTGGGTTGGGCCTTTACGTTTTATTTGACTGGACGCTTTTGCTAGCATCTCCAACTGGTGAGAACAGTAGATGCTATACCCCAAAACTTCAAATCCCAAGCCCTAGACCCTGAACCTCTATATCATACAAGAACGTAAACCTTCATGATCCTCGTGGGCAAGGCACAAATCTTCGCGGGCGAGGCACGAAACGTGCCTTGCCCACCAAAAGGGCAAACCCGAAAGCCTAAACTCCAGAACCTGACACCTTGAATCTTAGGGTAGTTGCATGGTCCCTTAGTATGGGCCCTTAAAAGGGTACCTCTTTCATGGGTATATGGCCTATATTAAGGGCCCATGAAACTACCCTGAGAATAAATCCAGCTCCTAGTGCGGCGGAACTAGGGAACGAAGTTCTTGATATGCCTTCTCAGGGACTGCATGGAAACCTAGTTCCAACCCCCGATGGAAGCCCTGACAAAACCTAAGCAGCATAACCCCCATACCCTAAACTTGGAACTCGAAACCCCGAAACCCTAAACCCCAAACCCTAGCCCCAAACCCGAAACCTCAAACCCTAAACCCCTAAACCCTTAACCCTGAACCCTATACCCTAAGCCCGAAACCCCTAAACCCTAAACCCCTCAACCCTTGAACCCTAGACTCTCAAAACGCCTAAACCCTACAAGCCCTAAACCCTAAACCCTAAGCCCTAAGCCCTAAACCCTAAGCCCTAAACCCTAAACCCTAAACCCTAAAAGCCCTAAGCCCTAAACCCTAAACCCTAAGCCGCCCTAAACCCTAAACCCTAAGCCCTAAAAGCCCTAACAGCCCTAACAGCCCTCACGGAAGCCGCGCGTCGGGAACGCCAACTGCCATCTGCCACTTCTGAAGGCTGAGCTCCGTCCTTAGCTCTTCTTGGAAGCTGTCTTTCAGGGGTTTAGGGTTTAGGGTCTAGGGTTTAGGGTTTAGGGTTTAGGGTCTAGGGTTACGCGTTTAGGGTATGGGGTTTAGAGTTTGGAGTTTGGGGTTTCGGGCTCGGGGTTTGGGGATTGGGGTTTGGCTTGGGGTTTAGGGTCTAGGGTTTCGGGGTTCAGGGTTTGGGGTTTAGAGTTTGGAGTTTGGGGTTTGGGGGTTTAGGGTTTCGGGGTTTAGGGAATGAAACGTTTTAACCCTAAACCCTAGGCCCAGAACGTCTTGGCCCCACTAAAAGCCGGTCCAACAAGAGCTGACAACGACTTTTCTCAAGATCAGCTCGTGTGTCTGGAAGTGGTCCTTCAGGGCCTTCATGCCCTGTCAGGGTTTGCAGGGTTTACATAGGGTTTAGGGCTAGGGGTTTAGGGTTTAGGGTTTAGGGTTTAGGGTTTAGGGTTTAGGGTTTAGGGTTTAGGGTTTAGGGTTTAGGGTTTAGGGTTTAGGGTTTAGGGTTTAGGGTTTAGGGTTTGCAGGGTTTGCAGGGTTTGCAGGGTTTGCAGGGTTTGCAGGGTTTGCAGGGTTTGCAGGGTTTGCAGGGTTTGCAGGGTTTGCAGGGTTTAGGGCTAGGGGTTTAGGGTTTAGGGTTTAGGGTTTAGGGTTTAGGGTTTAGGGTTTAGGGTTTAGGGTTTAGGGTTTAGGGTTTAGGGTTTAGGTGTTAGGGTTTAGGGTTTAAGGTTTACGGTAGAGTTTAGGATTTAGGGTCTAAGGTTTATTGGGCCTCAGAGTCATGATGTCAGACGCCCTCCCGTCCCTAAACCCCACACTTCAAGCGGGCAACCGGTTTAGGGTTCAGGGTTCAGGGTTCAGGGTTCAGGGTTCAGGGTTTAGGGTTTAGGGTTTAGGGTTTAGGGTTTAGGGTTTAGGGTTTAGGGTTTAGGTCTTAGGTCTTAGGTCTTAGGGATTAGGGTTTGCGAAGTTCAGCTGTGCCCCAGTACCCATCATGTCCACGTCAGCTAGCTGTGCTAAGCCCTGCAGTTGTGGCAACCCTTGCCACGGTTGACGCGACTCCCTAAAACACCCTAAACCCTAAACCCCAAACCCTACACCCTAATATCCTCGCAGCCTCAACTACTCGTCGCTGGCATGCAGTCGGAGTAAGCAAAAGCCCAGTGAAAGCCCTTAAGACCAGTTTTGGACCCTAAACCCTAAACCCTGAACCCTAAACCCTAAACCCTAAACCCTAAACCCTAAACCCTAAACCCTAAACCCTAAACCCTAAACCCTAAACCCTAAACCCTTTAAAAGAAAAAAAAGCCGGCGCCTTTGGGTTGTACCCACGCGCCAGAACAACGCCGTGGGCCAACGTCACCTAAAAACGCTTTCGCATTGAAGGGGTTTACGGTTTAGGGTTTAGGGTTTAGGGTTTAGGGTTTAGGGTTTAGGGTTTAGGGTTTAGGGTTTAGGGCTTAGGGTTTAGGGTTTAGGGTTTAGGGTTTAGGGTTTAGGGTTTAGGGTTTAGGGTTTAGGGTTTAGGGTTTAGGGTTTAGGGTTTAGGGTCTAATGGGGCTGTGAAGCCTTCTTGGAGGGGGAGGGGGGTTTGGGTTTTAGGGTGCGGGGTTTAGGGTTTAGGGTTTAGGCTTTCGGGTAGGGTTGAGGGCCGGCTTTAAGATGACCCAAAAGGCTTCTCAAGGGGTTTTGTTTTAAGCGGCTCAGGGGCTTTTGAAGTCGAGGCCCGTCGGTGCAGGGCTGATGGTTTAGGGTTTAAGGTTTCGCAATAGGGTTCAGTGTTTAGGGTTTACCCTAGCGCTTTTGAAATCCTAAACCCTAAACACTAAACCCTACACCCTAGGCCCACAAAAGGAAAAAGCCAAAACTCAGGCGGAGTCGCTACAAAACGAGAGATGACGGCGCGGGCCGTCGCGAGAAACTGCAGCACCGGATCAACGCCCCAATCAATCTTGCACCAAATATGCAAGCCTTGGTTGGCCCTACGAACTCGGGTTCAGGGTTCAGGGTTCAGGGTTTAGGGTTTAGGGTAAAGGGTTTAGGGCTTAGGGCTTAGGGCTTAGGGCTTAGGGTTTGCAGTTAAGGGTTTAGGGTTTAGGGCTTAAGGTTGAGGGTTGAAGGTTGAAATACATTCCTCAATGGCGCCCCTTTGAGGACGCAAGACACAAGCGAAAAGAAGGCCCAAAACCCTGAAACCCTTAACCCTAAACCCTAAAAACCACCAAAATATATCCCAACTGCCTTGCCTCGAAGCAAAGCACCTCCGTGCAGTTCGCGCACGCCCGCAGCGCCCTGGGCGCTGTGGATGCCCTGAGCTGCTCCATCTGCCGTCGAGCGCAGCCACCTCGAGGTTCTCCCGACACGGAGGTTTTGGGGGGTTTTAGTTCCCAAGATAGGGCTTTATGTAGGGGTTTTGGGGGTTTGGGGTTTTGGGGGTTTGGGGTTTGGGGTTTAGGGTTTAGGGTTTAGGGTTTAGGGTTTAGGGCCTAGGGCTTCGGGCTTCGGGCTTGGGGTTGGAAGTTCCTAGCATGCGGATTGGCGTAGGATACTGACGGTGCCCCTATTTTGGGAGATACCCGCCTGAGGCAAACTGCCGCAAAAAGGAAAGGTGGCCCGCTTGGTGAAGACGCCGCGCGTTTGCTTCAAGGAGCTCGAGATCTTCCAGCGTCAGCCCATTCAAAGCTAGATCACGGTTCCGTGCATCTACCTGTGTCGGTTGCTTCAATCACCCTAAACACTCTCTACGCTAACCCTAACTTAAACCCTTTAAGCCACCCCCCAAGTCTTCATAAGGGGCGAAGTGAACGGTAATGGTGGTACTTCAGAGGGTACTTGGGAGGTCTGGGAAGACCCCAAATCCCATGCCTGTACTTAAAGCTGCTGAACCTTGAGCCTAAGCCGCTTAATATCCTTAATGCGGTTTCGGGCTTCCGGCTTAAAGTCCTATAGGGTTTAGGTTCAGGGTTTAGGCTTTAGGGTTTAGGCTTTTAGGGTTTACGGTTAGGGTTTAGGGTTTAGGGTTTAGGGTTTAGGGTTTAGGGTTTAGGGTTTAGGCTTTAGGGTTTAGGGTTTAGGGTTTAGGGTTTAGGGTTTAGGGTTTAGGGTTTAGGGTTTAGGGCTTAGGGCTTAGGGCTTAGGGCTTAGGGCTTAGGGCTTAGGGTTCGAAAGCAGCATCCCCAGAAACAGGAGCCCAGCGACACCCACACGCACCCACTGCACCAAAGGCAGCCCCATGCAGCCGGGATATTCGCCGGATCGCTCCAGGATCTTCAAAGCCTCCCCTTGTAGCACTGTCGGGCTTGGGGAGTTTGAGGGCTTTGGGCGGGTGGGTTTCCCGAAACTTTTGCCTAGAACTTGAAGTTTCTACATTCCTAACCCCCTCAGAACCCTGTAAGCCCTAAACCCCAAACCTCAAACCCCTAAACCCATCATCCCCCATTATCCTAAACCCCAAACCCCAAACCGCCGTCCAGGGGTCCGTGGTAACCCTCCCGCACGTTAAAGGGCTTGCGGTTTAAGACGGCTTCTGGGGGTTAAGGTATAGGGCTTCCCTGCCCTCAACGGACCCAAAGACGGACTTGCTCAAAAATGCCCCAAGGCTCGGGGGCACGGCACGGATCGCCCGTAGGCCTCACAGGTGGCTAGCGGCCGAATCAGCCGCAGGGTCATGGAGCCTTAGGGATTGAGGCATTTTACGGTTCAGGGTTGAGGGTTTAGGGTTCAGGGGGCTAGTGCTGAGGCTTTGGGGTTCAGGGGGCTGAGGGAACCTGAGGGTTTGGCGTTACTTTATGAGCATTTGTGGGTAGGAGCGGGCTCAGATCGCCAAACAGCATTGCACTTTGGGGTTCTTATGTTCAGGGTCAGGGGGGTTCGATCGTGTCGATGCAGCAGCAGCGCCCACACGCACACGCGCGGAAATGCCTTCGGCGTTCAATCCGATTGGCTTCGCTCTTGTTGGAGATGTCCCTGCCTCCATGACAATGGCCTCCAGCCCCAACACCCTCGCAGTACCCTGCCGCATATACTTGGAGGTTCATGCTACTCCTAAACCAATTCTAACTGTACCGATAACTGTACAGATAAGCCCCTTAAGTGCCCCAATATGGTTTTTAGTACAGTTGTCTGCACAGCAATAATTGGTGAATAAGTACCATGCACATGGCACGCCACCTCAGCTTGCGCTGCGGGTGCTGTCGCGCGCCTTTTCGGGACCCTAAACCCTAAACCCTACTAAACCCTACTAAACCCTACTAAACCCTACTAAACCCTACTAAACCCTACTAAACCCTGAACCCTAAACCCTAAACCCTGGGGCCAGGCTGGGTCGCACAAGGACAAGGGCTCGAAAACAAGGACCATCGCGGAGCTTCCCGAGGACAAAAACCCTCTTGCTGAGCGCCGCTCCCGTTTCAGCGCCCGCACGCGTCAAGAAGGGTTCTTAGGGTCTAGGGTTTAGGGTTTCGGGTTTAGGGTTTAGGGTTTAGGGTTTAGGGCTTCGGGCTTAGGGTTTAGGGCTTAGGGCTTAGGGTTTAGGGTTTAGGGTTTAGGGTTTAGGGTTTAGGGTTTAGGGTTTAGGGTTTAGGGAGCTATACGGTCCGCGAAGCGCCCCCCCAGCATCAGGCCCCAGAACGTGCTTGCAAAACCTTGAGATGCCATTCCATAAAAGAGCAACATCTGGAGGGGTCACTACACCGCTTGAAGTGTCACGCCCGCCCCTTCTTTGGGGGCCTCGCATCGTCGCGTGCACATTCCGTACTCGACGTCGTGCTCCCGCAAAGGTTTTAGGGTTTAGGGTTAAGGGTTTAGGATTTAGGGTTCGGGTTGAGGGTTTCATCAGGGTACACGCGTTTCATGGTTTCGAGGCAAATTTGGAATTGCGTTCGAGGGCTCGCCTGATCCTTGCGCAACATAGCACACTGGAAGTTTTGCAGGGTGCCAAGGGTTGTGGGGGGCTCCCGAAACCCTAAACCCTAAACCCTAAACTCTAAACCACAAACCCTAAACCCTAAACCCTAGCCCTAAACCCTAAACCCTAAACCCCAAATCCTAAAGCCCCCAAAGACCCGCCCCACGAAGGCACGCAAGGAGCTGTTCGGCAGCCAGTGCCACGGGCCGATGCCGCCTGGCCGTCGGCACCTCCGCCACTCTCTTCTTGGGGTTTAGGGTTTAGGCTTTGGGGTTGGGGGTTTAGGGTTTAGGGTTTAGGGTTTAGGGGAGTCTGGCCGGGTCTTCACTGGCTTTGTGTGTTCGGGAGGCGGCGCTCTTAGCCCAATCATGAGGGGTGTTCAAGGAGACCACGACACCTGGGATTCAGCGGCTACGAAACGCCTAAACCCTAAACCCTCTATACTCTCCAACACCCCAAACCCTTTAAACCCCCTTTAAAACTAAGAAGAGGAAGAAGAAGAATAGTAGTAGCAATAACAATAAGAATCGTAATGGTAATAAACATAAACTCCCTAAGCCCCAAACCCTATACCAAAACCCGAGACCCAATCAGGTGGTTCGCCACCCTCCGCACCTCCCCCTAAACCCTAAACCCTAAACCCTAAACCCTAAACCCTAAACCCACCTCCACTCAGGGCTGCAAACCTCCTGGAGGAAGGCCTTCCTTCGTCCAAGGTCCACCTGGGATTCTTCATGAGCCCTTGGCAAAACCCTACAGGTTTAGGGGTTTAGGGTTTAGGGGTTTAGGGTTTAGGGTTTAGGGTTTAGGGTTTAGGATTTAGGGTTTAGGATTTAGGGTTTAAGGGTTTAAGGGTTTAAGGGTTTAGGGGTTTAGGGGTTTAGGGGTTTAGGGGTTAAGGGGTTAAGGGGTTTCGGGGTTTAGGGGTTTAGGGGTTTAGGGGTTTAGGGGTTTAGGGGTTTAGGGGTTTAGGGGTTGAGGGGTTTAGCGGTTCAGGGGTTTAGGGGTTTAGGGGTTAAGGGGTTTAAGGCTTTAGGGGTTTAGGGGTTTAGGGGTTTAGGGGTTTAGGGGTTTAGGGGTTTAGGGGTTTAGGGGTTTAGGGTTTAGGGTTTAGGGTTTAGGGTTTACACCCGAAGCCCTAAGCCCTAAAACCCTAAACCCTAAGCCACAAAGAGGATGGTTTAAATATCTACAGTTCTCTTAGGTCACTTTTTTCTTTTAAACGGGGTTGGGCTCTTGGGGTTCAGGGTTCAGGGTTTCTCGTAGGCCCTTAAACCCTAAACCCTACACAACTGAGGGAAGAGTAGGGCCGCAGGTTTAGGGCTCAGGGTTCAATATCTGCGGTCCTCTCTTAGAAGTTCCCAGAGTGCGATGTGTCCTTTGTACATTTCAACCTTCGAGGGCTCTTTGGGGTTTAGCGTTTAGGGCTTAGGGTGAGGGGTTAGGGGTTAGGGGTTTACTTCGGGGTTTAGGGCGCTTAGGGTTTAGGGTTTTAGGGGTTAGGGCTTAGGGGTTAGGGGGTTTAGGGGTTTAGGGGTTTAGGGTGTTTAGGGTTTAGGGTTTAGGGTTTTTTTAGTGTCTGGGGGCTTTGGTTCAAGCCCCGAACAGCCCTGGGCCCTGAACCCCGAACCCCCAAACCCTAAACCCTGAACCCCAAACCCTAAACCCCAAACCCTAAACCCTGAACCCCAAACCCTAAACCCCAAACCCTAAACCCTAAACCCCAAATCCTAAACCCTAAACCCCAAACCCCAAACCCTAAACTCCCTAAACCCTAAACCCCAAAACCCTCAGCCCTCCACCTGGTAGCGGTGGAGCTGGACCTGCACCACATGTGTTGGGTCGCAGATCGAGACGTAGGCGCACTCGAAGTAATCGACCTCGAAGGATTTAGGGTTTAGGGCATTTCGGGGTTTAGGGTTTAGGGTTTAGGGTTTAGGGCTTAGGGCTTAGGGCTTAGAGTTTAGGGTTTAGGGTCTAGGGTTTAGGGTTTAGTGTCTAGGGTTTAGGGTTTAGGGTCTAGGGGTTTAGGGTTCAGGGTCTAAGGGTTAAGGGTTTAGGGTTTAGGGTTTAGGGGTTTAGGATTTAGGGGTTTAGGGTTTAGGAGTTTAGGGGTTTAGGGGTTTAGGGGTTTAGGGGTTTAGGGGTTTAGGGGTTTAGGGGTTTAGGGGTTTAGGGGTTTAGGTGTTTAGGGGTTTAGGGGTTTAGGGGTTTAGGGGTTTAGGGGTTTAGGGGTTTAGGGGTTTAGGGGTTTGGGGTTAGGGTTTAGGGGTTTAGGGGTTTAGGGGTTTAGGGGTTTAGGGGTTTAGGGGTTTAGGGGTTTGGGGGTTTAGGGGTTTAGGGGTTTAGGGGTTTAGGGGTTTAGGGGTTTGGGGAGTAGGGCTCAGAGGAGCTTTGTTGGGGTCTGCGGGTTTAGGGATTCAGGGCTTGTAGCGGTTTTGGGCTGGGAGGTCTGCAGGGATTTAAGTTGTCTAAGCTTCGAGCTAAGCCTGTGCCTGGGGCTAATACAGACAAAGATGAGCATAACTCCGTCACAGACACCCTAAAGCCTCACTAGTGACATGCCAAAACTCGAAACCCGAAACCAGTACACCCCAGACCCGAGCCCCGAAACCCCAAAGCCTCAACCCCAAACCCCAAACCCCAAACCCCAAACCCTAAACCCTAAATCCAAAACCCTAAACCCCTAACGCTATACCCAAACCCTAACAAACCCTGAGCCCCCCCCCCCCCCAAAAAAAAAAGACAAATATATATATATATATATATATATGTATAGAAAATAAAAAGAATAGAAAATAAAAAGAAAACTATCCCCTAAACCCTAAACCCTAAACCGTAAACAACTAAAGCGAAGCTTCCTCGAAGTGAGGCGAGTCGTCGTGCGTGGCCAGCCAGAACAAATCGGCGAGGACCACCTCGTTCGGGTTTAGGGTTACGCGGCTTTGGGGTTTAGGGTTAGGGTTTAGGGATTAGGGGTGTAGGGTATAGGGTTGAGGGTGTAGGGATTTAGGGGTGAGGAGGGCTTAGAGTGTAGGTTTTGCAGGTTTCAGGGTTTAGGATTTAGGGACACAAACCAAGCTTCTTGGGGGTGTTTAGGGCTTCAGGGCGCTCGCGGCATCTGGAGGCCCCACACGGGAACCCCAAGAAAAATATCCCCTTAGAGTCGGGGGTGGAGGCGGAAGGCCTACGTGTTGAAATAGGGTTTCGGGTTTAGGGTTTAGGGTTTAGGGTTTCGGGTTTAGGGCTTAGGGTTTAGGGTTTAGGGTTTAGGGTTTCGGGTTTAGGGTTTAGGGTTTAGGGCTTAGGGTTGAGGGGGTAGGGCTTAGCTCTAATAACCCCTTACACCTCTGAACCCCCTAGCCTCCTGAACCCTAAACCCCTTGACCCCGAACCCCCTAAACTCTAAGCCCTAAACCCTAAAGGCCCTAAACCCAAAGCCCCAAACCCTAAACCCCAAACCCTAAACCCTCAACCCGAAACCCTAAACCCAAGCCACTGGCGACTCCAGGCATCTCCAGGACTTCGATGACAGCCAGAATTCCAGGCGCTTTGCAAGCAAGAAGAAGTCGAATTCTTGGTCCTGGGTTGTAGGGTTTAGGGTTTAGGGTTTAGGGCTCAGGGTTTAGGGTTTAGGGTATGGGGATTCGGGTGTCGGGTTTCGGGTTTAGGGCTTAGGGTATTTGGATTCGGGTTTCGGGTCTAGGGAGTAGGGTTTCGGGTTTATGGTTTGGGTTTCTGGTTTTCGCACCCCCAGGGTTTGGGGTTCAGGGTTGATGGGCTCAGGGGGGATTCAGGCGGGTGAGCTTACTTAGGCCCAAACCGCGGCGTGGATCCGAAGCAAGCTCTGAAGGCTTTCTTCTCTGCGATGTGGTTTCTTGCGCTTGCCCTAAACCCTAAACCCTAAACCCTAAACCCTAAACCCTAAACCCTAAACCCTAAACCCTAAACCCTAAACCCTAAACCCTAACCCTAAACCCTAAACCCTAAACCCTAAAGCCTAAAGCCTAAAGCCTGAAGCCTAAAGGGTTTGGTTTCAGGGCTCAAAGTGCCACCGAAGGGCTCCATCATGCCGCCCCCTGAAGCCCGAAGCCTCTAAACCTGAACCCTGAAACCGTCAAAACCCCGCAACCCAACAACTCTCCGGTTTAGGGTTTAGGGTTTAGGGTTTAGGGTTTAGGGTTTAGGGTTTAGGGTTTAGGGTTTAGGGTTTAGGGTTTAGGGTTTAGGGTTTAGGGTTTAGGGTTTAGGGTTTAGGGTTTAGGGTTTAGGGTTAAGGTTTAGACCCTGAAGTTTAGGGTTTAATTAGGGTTTAGGGTTAAGGGAAGTAAGGGCCTTTTAAACACAAACCCTGAACCCTAAAACCCCACATCCGAAACGAAGGGCCACGGATCAGCGTTGACCATGAACTCGATGTCGCCGCCTGCGGCGACGTCGCTGCTCCTCCAAGACTAAGGTCCTAGAACGCCTCGGCACCTTCTAAAGCTGGTAGGCCTGGGTTGGGGTTTAGGCTGCTTAGGGTTAGCGCAGCGTTCTCAGGCTCGGGTTGACGATGAGCTCGGCTGCGGTATACCTACGCAACAGAAAAAACACCCTCAAACCCATCTTTAGCTGGCTAACTCGAACTGCAGTTCACAAGTTTTCGGTTCAGCCTGTTTTGGGAAGTTTGAACTTCAAACCCTAAACCCTCAACCCTCGAACCAAACCCAACCAGGCCATTTGAGCCTTGCCAGCTCCTCAATTTGCACCCTTGCCGACTTAGACTTGAGCCTTTGCCGGAGAAGTCATCGGCATTTAAGCTAAGGGGCGCCTAGGGTTTAAGGTCCTAAACCCTAAACCCTAAACCCTAAACCCTAAACCCTAAACCCTAAACCCCCCCCCCCCCCCCACGCCACCGACTCCTGGACAAACGCGCGCTGCCCTTTCCATAGCGCATCAGCGCCACCAGCGTACCCTCCGCTGGCCACCACTCCTGGTCATTGGGGCTGCAGTTGCTTCAGGGTTTTCTGGCTGGTTCTTCATAGGGAATGAGGGAATGAGTACCCTATATAATCTCTTTAAACCTAAACCCTAAACCCTAAACCCTAAACCCTAAACCTCAAACCGCCACAGCCTCCACCAAGGACTTCTCCAAAGCCGATGCC